CAACTGTGGTGATTTCTACCAATTTCCAGAGCAAGGATTTATTCATATCAAGTCTTGTAACTGAGTACAAAGGGATATGGGGTGGGGGAGTGTTTTTCCTATTCTCATAAGGTCAATGCAACATTTTTGACATCAGATAAAGGGGCCTTTTCCTTTTCTCCAACCAAGTAATTCTGCTGCAGGTATTCTGTAATGACACCAGCGGGATGTCCTCTAACTCAATTCAGTTCTGACATTACCTGCCTGGAGATAGTATCAGAACCCCAAAGTTGAGGGTTGTCCTGAAACAGACTGTAGTTGGGGCTTCTCTAAAATGAAGGGCAACTTCCTCATGCTGAGTGAAGGCTGAAGATATCCCCCCCACACCACATCCCCCACAACCTGGGAGACACTAAGAAAGCTGAGAATGGAGATTCTCCCTGAGATAGGAATTTGGAGATGCAGAAAAGGAAAGGTAGACTGAGTCTTAAGAGGAGTGCCTATGAACCCTTGAAATGCAGAAAACACTCATGAACCCTTTTACTGTACTCCTGAGCAATCTAGCCCATGCCCTTCCTGAGCCCTTGACCCATGCCCTTGCTTACGAAAAGGAAGGAGAGGGCAGTGCCCAAGTGCAGGGAAAACTGCACAAACTTGGGTAACCCTCACCCTGAATCCATCTCTACTGCAGMCCCTAGCAACTGTCCCTCTATAAATATCAACATCCTGCACCAACAGGTTGCTGTCTTTCCCTGAGGAGATGGCCTGCATTATCCCTTGAATATGTATTCTTTGCTTTACCCCCAAAACTTCTCACTCTTRAGATAGCTCACATTCTCCCTGGGATGTGCCTCTGTCTTCCTAGAGAAAACTTTTTCTGTCTCTCTGACTAGTACATGCTGAAATTCTCTACCATCATGTAAGTCAAGAACCCCACTTGTCCTGAATCTAGTTCTCCTTTCTGGGAACTCCTGGGTCCTTTGGTGACATGATACCCCCTTCCCAGGCCTGATTCGMACAGGCTATGGGCATATGTGTATTTCCTGTCTTTGCCTTACTATACCTGTCTTTTAAAAGCTTTGATTGCTCTCAGACCTGAAGATGGAATTTTTTTTTAATATTTTGCTTTTTAGTTGTAGTTGTAAYAATATCTTTATTTTATTTTATGTGGTGCTGAGGATTGAACCCAGGGCCTCACACATGCTAGGTGAGCRCTGTACCACGGAGCCACAASTCCAGCCTCTAAAGATGGARTTTTTGAAACCAAAGTTTTTTCTATCTTCCTTCAAAGCTGGCTTTGAATAAAACCAATCTTCTTACCAGTTTCATTCCTAACATTTGTAGAGCCTCTTCCCTCAGGCAGCATTAGTGTCATTGGGGTAATACTCCCACAAAACTGCCTACCCTCCTTCAGGTTGCAAGCACAGACCAACTGGTCAAAAACTGGGATTTCCGTGACCCCACTTCTTGAGTTCCAATAATTTGCTGAAGTGGCTCACAGAACTCTGGGAAACATTTACATTTACTGGCCTAACAGATACTACAAAAGACACAGGTAAAGAGATGCACAGGCCGAGGTATGGGAGAAGAGGCCTTCTCTTGGCACCCACCAACCAAGTACTAGATACCTGTTCAGATGTCTGGAAACCCCTCTTCACCTCTGTACTCTGTCCTTTTGGATCTTTTTTTGCAACTGGTGTTTGAATCCAGGGCACATGGAACCACATTGCCAGCCCTTTTTTTAAAAGTCTAAGACAGGGTCTCCCTAAATTGCTTAGGGCCTCAGTAAATTGCCGAGGCTGGCCTCGAACTCACTATCCTCCTGCCTCAGCCTCCCAAGTCTCTGGGATTATAGGCATGCACCACCACACCTGGCTTGTCTTTTTGGGTCTTTATGGATGCTTCATTAACTAGATATGATTGTTTATATCATTGGCCATTGGTGATCAACTTAATCTTCTATGCTCCTGCAGGGAACAGGGTGGGGCTGAAAGTCCCAACCCTGTAATCAAGACTTGGTCTTTCTGGTRACCAACCCCCATCCCAAAGCTAACTAGGGACCCCCTAGCCACCAATGCACTCATGAACACAGAAAAGATACCCTTATCACTCTAGAGATTCCAAGGGTTTCAGGATCTGTGTGTCTGGAAACAGGACAAAATTTGTATTTTATGGTATCACAAAGTAGCAACCCCTGCAGGGCAGGGACCATGTGTTTACCCACTGTCACTCTCACA